ATGCAATATGATTTTGCCCTTCAAACTCTCATTACACCCTCCACCCAAGTAAGTTACGTTACCCCAAAAAAATATATGGAAAAAATAAAATTGGTTACGTTACTTTACTTTACAACCAAATTTAGTTACTTTACAAAAACAACAGATTTGGATAACTAAAAAAAAGTTACGTTCTCCAAATCCCCTGCTGTAACGTACCGTAATGTATCTGCCCACCGCTGGTACCAGCAGATCATCAAGATCAATTTGGATTGTCAAGTGTCCATGACTGTCAGAGATTGGTCATCACAATATATAATTTAGGCTTGGTGACCAGTAAAGACCAGAAATTGAGGTCAATATAATAAGTTCTTTAATCTTGATGACTGGCATCATTGAGGGGGTAATGGTGGATAGTGTAGCAAGCACTGGTGGATGGAAAATCCGTGTGGGTTGTTAGATCTGACAAATGAGTTGCTACAGTGAACTTGTAGCAACCAAGTTTCAACTCTTGTGATGGATATTCTCTGAAATATGCAATCCCACTTTAACTAGGTTGCACTGCTTCAACTATAGTGGAATGGAATAGGTTGGATTTAACTTATTTGACGGGACATTAAATGGGATTAATTCAACCTAGATAAGGTGGGCTCAAACAGGTTGAATTTAGATCATTTGAAGTGAGATTAATCAGAGTAAATGCATCCCATTTAGGCTTTCTAACAGTCCTATAAGCACATATTAAATTCTCATGACCAGAGACTATAGGCAGTTGTTCCAAATTCTGTAATGTGAAAAGATCAACCAATTTTAGAGTTTAAGTACAGAGATTTGAATGATGTCTTTTGCTTTTTCATACTTCTGTAAAGCTCAAAAATGTGTGGTGTGTGACTGTGGCTGTAGACTAATTTGATTTAGGGAAGAAGTCCAAAGTTCAACTTACTTTTTTTTGCAAGTTTCAAGTAGTCAAGAATTTGGGTGTGACACTGTAGTCTGTAGTAGATACAGATTATTTTTTGTGTGTTTTTCTTCTCTTCAGATGTCTTCTTATATTAATATTATATAACTAAAAAGAAATAGGCTCAGAGAGTCAAGCAAACAGCCAGGCAATCTAACCCCAACATCTAAACATTAGACTCAGACAGATGTCCCACTCAAGCTTCATTGAAATTTAAAGCCCCCCAAAGTTGGGGGCAAATAAGGTCATCAGATAGGCCTCCTCAAAATTTGAACCCCCCCCCCCATTGGAAGGGAAATAATACTGTAACATGAATAAATAAAGTTTGTGTGATGTAATACTACCTCTTTACCTACACTTGAACAAAATTCATAATAAGTCATGAGGTATCACTACATGTTTGATCATGTTTTATTTCTATAACACAGGTGTAAAGTCTTGTTTGTTGTATAGTAATCAAGCATGATGAGCATGGTCAAAGCAAGTCCAATCTCTTGGATTGTATTGCAGCAAATAGCTCCACATGTGAGGGAATCAATGAATACAACGGTTGGCACACTCAATTACACCATAGCAACCACTGCCTGACAAGGCCTCTTTTTGTACTGATGGCTAGTGAGTCAGAGAGTCTCTGGATAGGTATTAAAAGCAGACTGACAAATTGCTTCATTTGTTCCCTATTTCTGTATCAGATTCTCATCCTTTCATCCCGTCACATTTTGGTTCCCTAATTGATCTAAATTCTGGAAAACAAAAGCAAAAACAAATATGTTGCTTTTACCAATCCTTGTCATAGTTGAGTTGGCTTATCTTTTTGGCAATGGGCTTGCTTTATCGAGCAGGAATCTGAGTCTACTCTACTTGTTGTGTAGATGTCTATGGGTATTCCAACCGGTCTCTCAACACCCATGAGCAATCGAAAAGTTCCGACTCAAGGTGTTCCGATTGGAGATGTTCCGATTGTTGACAGAGTGGGAGATTTCGGCTTCCGAGCCCGGTCGCATCCTATCACCGACTATTTCGAGGGGCCGTCGGGAACGGTTGAGGATGTCAAGAAACTAGATCTAACGAGGGGTGCTGGCGGCGATCCGCAAGACGAAAAGAAAGGCTTGGCCCAGCTGACCGATGAGGATTATGAGATCATGGAGCGTCCTCCTCCCCCTGCCTCGAAAACCGGAAAAAGTGAGGCAAGAATAGCTTCAGAAAGCTTTCCCGAGAAGACCATTAAGCCACTAACCGAAAGCACTCCGCTGCCACCTCTTTCTGCCGACACGGTCAAGCCGGACCAAAGAAATAGACAAATGGGCGAGGAATCGGGGGATCCTCATCCTCTCAAATCCTCGAGCGTTCGATCCGATTCTCTGCACGATTTGGATGACATCCATCCAGTGGCCAAAGGCACGATTCTATTCCTAACAGTCTTCCAACAGCTGTTTGAAAATTCAAAGAATCCGGTTCCTTTCATCACACTTTTTCATATCTTTTTTATGACCCCGATGCTAATGCGAATGGGGTTGCGTTGAAATGGCCATTATGTCATGAGATTGAAGCAGAGTCAGGTCACCCAGAGGTCGTCCCACATGGGATCACTACGATGATCAAGATGCTTAAAATTCCTCTCAGTTTTTCTGTTTTTATTGAATAGAGATCCACCCCCAAACCACCAAACAAACCCCTCGTTTCTATCAAATGATGATATATACTTGGGTCCTCACACTTTTAATCCATCAAATATCTTCTATTTGCATTTTCCTATTGTGTTTTGTGAATTTTTAGCTTGCTGTAGATATAGTAGTCGCTCTGCTAAGCTGGTTTCAAGTTGTGAAATCCAAACCCATAGGCGTTATGCTTCCTCCTTGATTAGATAGTTTCCATAAGGTGTCTGGCCCTTGAGGGGAAGCTCATATATCACAGCTGACTCGTCATTTCCTTTGTGGGGCATCATTGAGAGATGAGTTGAACAATAAACATTCACGGCAATGGTATTCACCATGTAAGGGTGGTGCAATTGAAAAAAGGCCGAATGAGTTATATTTTAAAACAAAGGTTTAAGAAATCAAACCATTGATTTGATTACTTCAGATTTGATGATCAGCTAAGGTGATGATAATATGAAGGACAAAAAGTATCTGACTAATGACTCGAAACTGCATTCTTTTTTTTTGAATATCAGATTGGTTTTTAGGAAACATGCCAGTACTCTGCAAAGCACATATCATCTTCAAGTGGGCTACTTTATTTCTTGTTTTACGGTTAGGATGAGTCCTTTTTTCTATCTTGGAATGGAAGAATTATGTTACCTAGAAATCAATATTTCGCTAAACATCGAGCACTTTAAAATAGGATGTTTCTATTTAGAGTATCGATTGATTGTCTGCTAAGCATTAGATGACCTTAATTATCTTTAATTGTCTTTTTTTCTCACTATACATAGAATTAACATAAAGAGGTGGGACATATAAGAGGATTGATTTGAGATGAGAGGGAGTCACGGGGACTAGATGGAGGTGGTCTCACTGCCCTCACTTTCGATTTTTTGTTCGCCCTTTTCTTCTATCGATGAGCTTGATGAGTCGACCGATTTCTTCTTTCCAAGTAGCTTCAATTTGCGCAAGAAGACTAGCGAGAGCAAAGTTGCTATGAAAGTTTTTTTTTATTGAGTTCAAATATGGTTGATAAAAGCAATTAATAATTTTTCTTATTCTTGCAGCTCATAGGGAAACCCCCCGAAATCTCGGATTGATGAGGGGGAAACATAAGAAGAAAAAAACATACCCAGACATAAAGCGGCGAAGCAAAGCCAAAAGCCCGCCCTCAATCCTTCCAAAAAGGCCGCAGGGCTTGCCACAGTCTGTTCGTAAGAGGGGAGGTAAATTTCAATATCCGCATCAAACAATGATAGTTGAACTTCAATCTGGGAAGTACTCACCAAATCATCTCTGACAATCACTCCTTCTTCTCGCGCTCTTCCTCTAGTGACTTGAACCTTTGAATGAAGAAAAGTCCAGATTAGTATAGCTCCACACAACAGGATATGATCGATAAAGGAGAATAGTCGGACTTACTTGGAGCAAGGTGGCTAGACTTAATCCGATTGCATTGCCCATTTCTGATCCGTTTATTCGACAACCAATAACCAAATTCGAAAAAAATGGAAAAGAAGTATTAGAATCCTGGTGTTTTCACCGGAGCAAACCCGAATTCTGATAAAAAAAAGAAACGATCCAATCATATGAGGGGGAGAGTTGCGATGCTTACGGGCAAAGGTGTGGAATACTCCACCCGTAACGGCTTGTTCGGATTGACTCGAGATCTGACTGCCGTACATCGTTCCTGTGGCAAACTGGATATTTTAGTGGCGACCAATAAAATTGCCAAACAAAAAAACTGATCAACGTTCCGCGTCCACGTTAACGTATAGATGGGTAGGGAGATTCCAGAGACAGACCACAAAATCAGGTCCAACAACAGAGAGAGCAACTGAGGCAAAGTTGTAGGTCCAATAACTGGCCGAGGTGTCCATGAGTGCGGATAAGAGGCAGCTGGTTGCAGTGCCGATGCATCCCAAGACCATCAAGAGTTGGGCCGGGATGATGTGGGATAGAAAGCCGAAGGTGATGTTCAACAGCAGTCCTAATACAAGCCTATTTCCGTCACCGAAAGACTGGTCAGCATCTTTTGTTTTCCTCTCAGGATCAGGTGTTCAGTTCCCAAAAGAGTTTTGTAAAGACGGTTCTTAGGGCTTACATCGGGATAAATCGAATGACGGATTGAGTTAAGTCTAATCCCAAAAAATCTTGCAGACTATTTCCAAGCCGGTAAGGGGCATTTTTTTTTTGAAAAAAAAATGGATCGGAGTTAAATGAGCTTCTGAGCTCCGACGGGTGCAACAAAATATGAAACGTGCCGATTGAAAGCAGCAGAAAGGATGAGGATAATAAAAAGGAGCAAGAAAACTCAACTATTGATGAAAGAAGAAGTTTTGGATGACGAAGCCAAACCAAAGCAAACAGACTACCATCAAGACGATCGAAAACTGATGATGATCTCTCCTGAACAAGTCGAGTTTCAAGATGGGTTCGGTAGGTTTTTTCCAGCCCTCGCCAGCTTGGAGAGACTCAATCATGCGGTCCTCGAGGACCTTTTGCCAGTAAACAAAGCTTGCCAGGATAAGCACAGCGGAGATAAAAGGCAGTAGCACAACCACTCTGGTCCACCCTTCCCGAGAGCTGATTCCCAGCGCGAAGGTCAGTAACGTCAAGCCCGTGATGATCAGGATCCCTCCTAACCAATCAATGCTTCCTTCTTTGTTGACTCTCGGTTTGTCCTTTGGGATGATCAGCGTTGCTGATACGCAGACTGCAATAGCAGAGGCAGCGCAGAGATAGAAGAACTGTTCAAACATTTTAGAATAGGGGTCCAACCCCGGATATGATTAGCTAATTGTTCAAATTGTTCGCTCATTATCTTATCTGAAAGTTTTGAATGAACAGTTGGAGCCAAAAGAATAACTCACAGATCTCCAACCAGGGCCGGTTCCTTGGGTGATAAATCCACCCACTAACAAGCCGAATGTACCTCCCAATGGGGCACCTGCGCTGAGACAAGCGAAGCCGACGCGCTTCAGCGTGGATTCCGGCTCGAGGTGGTTTCCCAGGACGCCGATGAGCGAGGGCGCAGTAGCTGCAGCCCCAAGTCCTTGGAAGACTCGTAAGATTGACAGCTGAACATGGGTTCGCGAAAGCGCGCAGCCCAATGAAGCCAGGGCGTAGAAGGTAGTGCCCAGCTGAATGAATCGCTTATGGCCGTACTGTTTGGTTCATTTTTGAATGACGCATTGATCATGATGGATAAACAAAAAAAAGGAAACATAGTCTCAAAGTTAGTTCTCAGCTTGGTGATCAATTTGATAGGGGAAATTAGGACGAGCAGAGATGTCAAGCAAAGTGGACCAATGGAAAGACCACCATTGATGATAGTTTTCCAGTTGGAAATGGGACAAAAAGGAAAAACGCGGCGAAGGTGATTTTGGAAAGAGAGACCGACCAGATCAGCCAGTCTTCCAAACAACAACAAGCAGCTACCAAAACCAAGTGGAAAGCCACTCGAGATCCATTGCAAATCACTGGCTTCAATGTCTGTTAAAGAAAAGGAAGAGAACTCTCAGCTGTCTCTTCATATATATCCAGTATATTATAGTAGAGTGGATGCTTTACCTAGTTCTCGCTGGATGCTCGGGATCAAAAGGTTCAATGACAAAGAGGTAGCATTCTGTTTAAGTAGACAAGTGTTTTGTTTGTGGAAGTTAGCTATCAAAGTTAAGTTTAATCTAAAATTTCCAACCGATATATTACAAAGCAAAGATGGTTCAATCTCAAGGCCAAATGAGTGAATCCACTAACGCTAACGACGAAGGCGGTGACGCAGATGACTATCATGCCCAAGGCTCTGGCCACGGAGATTGGCTGGGGCTCTCCCTTGGGCAAGGTAGGAATCGTGGAGGTGTGTGGCGGGGCGAACAGGTGGATGATAGGATTGAAGGTCGAAGTGAATGATTCCTTCGGTTTCCTTACCCCGTGACCATCAACCTGAGTGGTACTGACGGACTTGGTCACGTAAGACTTCAAATGAGTCGGCGAGGAATGGCGGTTCAGGATCGACTTGATAGGTTTTTGGGCTTTCATACCGTCAGTAGACATGATCGTTACTTTGTGCGCTTTCTCGTATTAGAGAAGATGCAATGGGGAGGGGGGAAGGATGCTCTGAAGTATGTTATTTCTCCCTCGCCTTTTTTTGATAACTGCGGGTTTGGTTGGGTTGGGTAACAATCAGAAGGAGATCTTCAACCGGAAAGAAGTACTTTGAATTAAAGTTAAAATGTAGGACTAAAAGAGTTTCGGGAAATGGGAAGTGGGTCGGTTATATTATAAGAGGGGTTTTGGGTCTCAGGTGATAGTCAATGCTACGTTCCGAGGAGTGAAGGGATTATTGGCAATTTGAATCTTTAGCGTTAGACGAGGTGGGTGACTAAGAGTCGGCTTATAAGCAACTCCTACTATGTTTTCTTATTGACTGTGCTGATAGCTGGGAAGAAGGGATGAGGAAGTTGGTTGGATGGCTTCTCTTCCGAGAACGCCGAGGTGGAATGCTGGACTTATGAACCAGTGAGCAAGTGAGAGATAGGCGGCCAGCCCACCAGCGGCTTCGTCCCAGCCGAATGCCCAGCAGATGCTCAGCCTGGGGACTGGTGATCGCGATCGGCAGGGAAGGATGTGAAGAGAGAGGATGGGAGCACTGAAATCACCCAAACCGGATCCCGAAGCTTGATTGGTTGGTTGCTATTGGGAAACTGAAGAGAGGACGAAGGAGGCCGGTTTTCAGTTCGGCCGATGAAGAGTGGTCAACAAGCAAAACCCAGATGATAGATCCACTGAATCATCCAGTCTGAGTCTAGTTCTTCTTGGTCCTCTGCCCCCCTTTGAGTTTGACAAAACGGGATTTTTTTTTTTTGAAAGCAACTCCATTGCCCGGTTGAGGTTGATCCTCATGACGGAACAAGACAAAAGGTTTGCTGGAAACCTTGACTAGAAGCCAACCTTGAAATTGTCATCGGCGCTGTTCTGCTGGTTATGTAGTTCGATTCAAGTCCAACACACTAATCAGCTGATTGCAGTCACCCAAGACACAGCAAGAACCAGGGAAAATATGTAGTGGATAAATATTGATTTATTTATTTATTGATTTCTCTTGCTCGCGGCCATCTGAAGTTCGATCTCGTCGGTCATCCTCGATTCATCTCCACTCCACAAACAGTGCATATGCACTGGACTCCACCCTTCTCCGGCTTGCAGCGGGCGGGATGCCCGAGAACGGCGAGCCTGCTTCCATTCGATCGCTTCCATCGCCTTCCCCACCCAGCAGTGATGAGATTTGAGTATTCCCATCGGCCGGCTTACATAATCGATGATCGCAAGTCTCGAGGAACAGCGCGCCTGCCGTGAAGCTTCTCCTCTCCTCCCTCGTTTTCATCCCGTCCCCTGCAGCAGACGGACCCCACGTTGGGAAGAACTAACTTTTTTTTTTTAATCACGCACATCGGTCAGCCGCCATCTATCTTGGCAATGCACAATCCCTCAAGGTGTGCAACCTTATCCGCATATAGATTGGTGTTTTCATCATGAAATAACAAGCAATCGAACCTGGTGACCTTCTTCAGTTTTAATTTCGTTGTGGATGGAAGAAGTATTGATAACACGACCAAGCTGACCCTTTTGCACAAAAAACAACGTAAACTTTTCGGAAAAGTGCTATTGATGTAGTAGAGCCTCCTCAGGAGGGTCTCGGGAACTTCTTGCCGGCCAAACAGGAGATTTGTACGCAAGGAACTGAACCTTGGGGCTCAAAGGCTTAATCGTCATGACTCGTTTCAGCGGCACGCCCTGATCGACTCCGACGTGAGGTCATCATCCATCCTGGGAGTCGGGCAAGGCCGAACAATCCGGATAGTAACTCGGGTTAAATGTGAACCTTACTGAGTTACTGGCCCTACCAGGCCGGTATCATGGTATGGCTCCTTCCACGCGACGCGAGCACCAGGCTTAAACCCGACAATCCCACCGCGGTAAACAGCGGTCAAGCCTCAAGGTAAAGTTTTTTAATTGACCTTTCCCCTGTGTGGCCTCTCGGTTTTGCTATTAATATTGATTAATGCATTCCAAATTCCGGAGGGTTGCGCCGCCAGTATTCCCCCAGCTGAATGTGTGACTATAGCTGTGCAAGGGAACCTCGGTTTGGTGGGGGGGTCAAGTGGATAAAATGACCCAGTACCCTTTCTCGGTGGTTGTTGGACGGTTTAACAGCCGGGACAAGCTCTTTTGGTCGCGTCGTCTTGCGGAACGTCAAGCTGTCGAATGGTCAACATACACAATTATCATGAGATTGATCAGAGCAAAAACCTGAGCGCTTTAACATGCTCATCTCACCTGTATCTGCTTTTGCGTAATAGTTAGCTGCGAGGGTTGCGCATTGGTGGAATCGGCCTTCGTCAATCTGCCCAAGGCACGCGGAAATGGCTTGCGGTGGGATTATAATCCTAACCGGGCGTGATGAGTTGGCCACTTCAGTCCAAGCTGGTCCATGCCAGTTTACATATTCGGTCTACATCCCTTCTGGAGATGCGAGTGCTGATTTGGCTTGCCCGTAATCCCTGGCGGTTGCTGACTTGATGCGGGTGAAGGTATCGCACCCCTCCGGGCTGGCTGAGACGCACCGTCGCCGACTCAACGGTGTCTCAACAAGACGCCGGCGAGCTCAATATGACGAGTTTCTGATGTTGCATCCTGATGCATCGGTAGTCTCCGAAAACCAGGAGAACTTGTCACCTCCCAGTCCTTCATACATAGGCATCCAATTTGATCCCTCGGGCATACATTCATTCCTCATTCAACATGTCAGTATTCGAATTCTATAGATGCACACCCTTGGCAGGTATTGCTTCCGACATTGCATTTCACTAGAAAAACTTGCAAGATCTGCGCTTGATCACAACCAACAAACGAACGAACTTGGAGAGCTTCCTCTCCTCCTGGCTCTGTCAGGCAGACTGCGCCTGGACCCTCTTGCCATAACTGAACACACGCCCTTTTTATGTACTTCTGGCTGTATCGGTATGACATACTTCCACTCTTCCAGCCATTTCTCCCCCTTCAGTTAATTCCAACAGGGTTTCTATTCTCTGCGCCTCCTTCTTCCAGCCCTCCTCAACAACTTCCCAGTCCCCCCTCGTTTACAGGCCATCCTTTTTTCGCCAGTAGGCTTGCTGGCCCGAAAAAAACATTTATAACTTCCAATTAGCGCATTGTAGTCATACGACCCCGTAACTACACCATCTTCCAATTATTTATAACACCACTGTCGCTCCTTCTGTGGGTTGCCCTTCGTTCATCATCCCTCTCTTGAGCTCATCATTGACTGACTGACTTCAACTCTCTACACTCGCGATCATCCTCTAGCAATATTGCCAATCTTTTTAATAATTTCTTTCATCAACTTTCCAACAGTGCCTTCAGCATCTGTTACCTCGAACAATACCTTTTCATATCAATCTTCCTGACAAGATGAACTCAACACATCAATTCCCCGGTCGCTCGACCGAGTACAACGCAGGGGCTTATGGTCGCGATGGCGCACCCGCTCAAAACTTCATGTCCTCTGTTGCACCTGCTCACCGCCAACCGGGGCCACAACGGCCTAACATTGCCCCTTCAGAGCGTCCTCTTCCCCCGATGGATCGCTTGTCTCCTACATCACGTTATGCACCTCAAGCCCCGTCCTCCCACGATGCCGAAAATCCATTCATTTCTCCTCTTGATCCCAAGCTGCCTCCCCCCAAAGCGGCCTTCCTCGAGCCGACCTCACCCACCTCACATACCTTTGAGCCTCACACATCCGTCGGATTGATTCACGGCGAATCAGAGAAGCCTTCGACAAGAGAAGATTTCTATCGTCCCGGTGCCCAATGGAAAGATTTGGACCGAGCCAAGCAGCAAGAATCCAGGTTAGTCGCTTCTCAACGGAAACCGAATATGCTATCCTAACCTAGTAAACCTTGCACATTACAGTAATTGGCTCAAAAAACAATCTCAGGCTGGCTCGAAGTTTAAAACGATCACTTGGATTGTCGCAGTCATTGCTCTGGTGATCATAGGCGCCCTGATTGCCAAGATTGTGACGAAAAAATCCGAGCCTGTGACAGCCCCAGCGCCACGTAAGTCGAATCGTCACCTCCATAATCACACCGAGCCAGCCCCGATTAATCACTGTTTGATTGTTTGTAGTGAAATGGGCAAACGGTGCTACACATGTGCCGACCTTTGGAGCAAACGCCACCACCACAGCCGTCCCAACCGACACCTCGAAAACCGCCAAAACAGCCGCCGCCGATTCACCAACAAGTAGTTCTGCCTCCACCTCCAAAATCTCAAGCTCAAAACGACACTTGGTAGTCCTTGATTGACCCCACTCCTTTCCCCCCGACTCGGATCATCTCCCCCGGTACTCCTTGTTTTGCTCGCTTGAATATATTATATATTATCCAGTCCTGCTCCTGTGCCCATTCGAAATTCTCCTTTTTTTCGGTATCTTTCTCTCGTTGCCAGCCTTGGCCATGAGCCCGCACCTATCCTTCCGTTTGTGCTATGAAAGCCATCCGTCAGAATCTTCTGAGCTTCATCATGACTTGTACTCTTTATACCCTCACCTCTTCACTTCAAACATTTTGGGATCATTGTCTTCTTTTTTTTTTCTTCTTTTTTTTTTGTTGCGGTGGGAGGGTTTAATTTAATTAAGGACTGCACTTTTGTTGATTTATCAAGACCGTCTTATGAAGTAGGAAATATATTTAATTAGCTGCCACTATTACACATTTTTTTTTCTCTTCTCCTAATGATACATTTTGACTTATCTCATTCAATTGGGTTGGTGTGTGTGTAGACAGCTTTCACAACAGTCTCTTTTTGATCTTGAGAACAGTAGACGCTGTCTCTATCAAGGGAAAGCATGGGCCAGCTTTGATTTGAGATCAACAATCTCAGCCACTGCTCAAAACTGTATGTTTGCAGATATTGTCAGGCATAATTCACAATGGAAAGACTGCTTGGAACAAAGAATTATCCCACTGACAAGCAGACAAATAGGCCTACTCATGGTAGGACCCAGGAAAGCCCCTGTGGAACACAGTAACCAAAATGTCAAAATGTATACAACCACTTTGACTGAACATCAGATGTGATATCTGGATAGTTGCCACATCAGGACATGTACATACTGAAGGTGAATCCTGCCCATAAACTTTTTAGTGGTAAATCTTCACCAGTTGGGCTAAAAGTTGGTGCAGTAGGATGCAGCCATTCTGGTGGCAATACTATTACTGAACGATAGCCCCTAGTTTCCAAAGAAAGTAAAAGCTGTCTGTTGGATTATTTGACAAATTATGCTAATGATTGGTAAAGCAGGATCCAGGGTCTCAAACAATCATGTTGGTTTACATAATGATACAGAGCCACAAGGCATGATGCCATGACAGAATGCATCTGGCCACAATTGGCAGGTAACCATGTGAGTTATCAGACTTGAATTCAAAAAAAAACATTCACTACACATGCAGGTTGGATGTGTATCCTGGATTGCAGTAGTTTTAACACTGCAAGAAAAAAAAGAACACAAGCAACTGGTGGCAGTTTACATCCAAGAGCTCACACCATACTATACACTGAACTTGAGTGAAACTCAGAATTTGATGAAATTTTAACCAAAGACAGAGAGAATTTTTTGGGCAACAAAAACAAGTTTTTGTTGGAGAGGCTTGAGGGTCGTAAAAAGGGAGAGAGAGCCAATGATTTTTATTTGCTTAGTACTAGTAGAGCCTACGCATTAAATAGACTACGTACATCAAGTTCAATCTGTGGTTCTGAGAGAAAAATGAATATCATAATGAATAACAAAAATCAACAAATTATTGAATAGATGACTGGAGTAAATGACTGTTGATAAAGACTAGACCAGGGTTCGAAGACTACAAGGATTGCAGCACTAGACAACAGGACAAGATACCACACGGAAACTAACAACAATTGTATAATAATTTGTATTCTATCATTTAATCATTATCAATTATAAGAATAAACAAAAAAGATTTTTAGGGATGAGGAGAGAGAGAGAGACAAAATTCCAACAGAATTTTATTCTACTTTGTTCTGGCCTTTGAAGCCACAGGGTAGTAGTAGTAGTACCACTGAAGTATGTCAACACAATCACCTTAGTTTCCATTGAGGCTTGATTGGAGCATGTTGCATGTCAACTGGTACTGGTAGCACTTGCCTGAATTTTTTTCTTCTAGTGTTTACTGGTGGGTGCGCACAGTAATGCGGGGTGCGCTATGTACTCTATTTAGGCTCAAATTCAAGACATCACAAATGATTTCTGCAGTGCAAGAATAAGGTGTTTTCAGACCCATTGAAATTGAACTCAATGGAATAAGCATAGGAAAGTTGATTCAATCAATTCTTTTCCATTCCAAAACCAATAGATTCTAGTATGTATGTTGATTGATTATTTCAAGCAACAAACTTGAATTCCCATTCCAAATTCTGCAACTGTATTTTCTGAAAAAAAAATGATTAGATGATGTATCAGCAGGAGTTGAGCTTGTTATACATCCATAGGAAGATTGAAGCATTTTTTATGAAGTTTCAAAAATCTGATCAAGTTAAGTTTTTGGTGTCACACTTCCTGATAAATTATGGTGATAGATTCCAAGCCAATTTTCTGACAGGAATCACAAGGCTTTATGATACTTGGTTAGACTTGAGCTGAAGATAAATTTCTTTTCACATCTTCAAAGGGACTTGGCTGATTCCAACTGATAACGGCCTACTTCTCACCAATCTGGATCCCATGATTCAGACAATCTAATCCTAAACTCCAACATGCTATGAATGTTTGGAGAAGAAAATCACAAGTGACATTCAGCAGCAAACAAACTTTGGAGTTTAGCTCTAGAAGTGCTAGATCAGGAATTCATGATCAATGGGATGTGTCTGCATCAACATTTTCACAGGATGTAGATTCAATAGGAGGACTTGCTGTTGAAATATCTGGACCCTAAAAAGTGAGTCGATTCAGGAGAGCCTTGAAAGATGAGCTCTCCATCGGGGAGCCACGGGACAGGTCGATCGGGAGCCTGATTAGCACGGGGGGTTGGGGGTGATCCAAACAGAGTGTTCGGGCATTTTCCACTGCTTGCTGAGGGTGATCAGCCTGACGAATGGCCCGGTCAGTCGCAAGCAAGGGGTTCTCCAGGAAGGGTTCTTCGCTGTTGATCCAACCAACCCTACAAGCTTCGATCTCCCAAGCTGAAGCACAAACCACACACACACACACACACACACTTGGCCTGATACACACTCCAGACTCGGAAAGATGTCGTACCTCTTCGACTTGTCAACCCCTGCAACGATCAACTTCGAGCCCCTGCTGACTGACCCTACTGGGGAACGAATCGGCCAGCTGGCTGGGGCTAATGCCGCCCGCGGGGCAATGCGAACGAGCTTGAAAGAATGCAAACAGAACTCTGGCAAACGCGATTGGTTCAAGGCTGTCAAGGTATGATCTGCTTATCTTATCGAGTCCATCCAGAGGCTTGTCCTGATCACACTTGTCGTTTTAATGTATTGTACCAGACAATCGAAGACTACCTCCCTCACCTCCTGGGTCTTATGGATGCAATCGAAAAAGATATGTTGTTGATGCCAACTGAAATAGGTACGATACCAGATTTTTAACACGATCTGTCCTCCTCGAAGGCTAAGAATACCTACGTGTGTTTCATGACGTCCCTCCACTTTCCAGTGTTCGGATGGAGATCAACCTTATCATCTCGGAGGGTTCGTTCGCCATCTAGGATTTCATTACCTTCCTTGTAAGCCAGCGGTCGAGCCGTCATGGACCTTAATTTGTACACTGATTTCAGATCAAGCTGAAGAGGATTTTGATGTTGACATGAACGATATTCTGTGTGTGTTTGGACCGCAAAAAGCTACTACGAATTAGCCTCTGTCCTTCTGAACCTTGCCTTCGCCTTATCGAATACCTCGAACTCGCTAGTGAGCTCTATGGGCTCATATGAGATCGGCACCGAAGCTGAGCGACGTGCGGGAGACGGGAAGCTGAGCTCGGCGGCCGACACTCTCTGCCGTGCGAGCGGAATATTCGAATTCTTGAGCAAAGAGATTATCCCTAAATGGGAAAAACACCATCGGGACGGCATTGCTCATTTGCGTGCCTCCCGGCCCCCAGAGCTATCCAGAGAAGCCACCGGTGGATTAGCCCAGTTCGTTAGCGAACTTAGGATTTCTTCTTGGCTTTTTTCTTCCTAATTTTTTTTTATTATCAGTGGCTGACATTTCTGATTTGTTGACTTGTGACGATTAGACTGATGTTAGCGGATGCTGAGCGGCTTGCGATCAGGCGTTTACTGTCAAGGTCTGCGATGGATCGACACACGAACCCAGGAGCAGGCTTGCCCAAATCACATCCCTCGCCCGCGCTGCTCGCAAAGCTCGAGTTGAATGTGCACCAACTGTATAGCAGTTCGAAGGATGCGTTCAAGTTAGCCAGTGGGGCCAGTGAGATTGCGAGTTCCCTGCGGAACTACGTCAGTGAAGGTCGTCAAGTAGCTCTTGGACGTGGGTACAAGTGGCTGGCGCTGGAAGCCGGCGAACAGGCCAGTCAAAACGGGGAGGCTATCGGCTGGCTCGGCCTGGCACGAGAGGCAATGAAGGCGGTGTGTAGTGGATCGCTTCTTGCCGTGCGGAACGGGTCTCTGAAGAATGACTGGGCTCGTAAGAAAGGGAAAGTGGAACTGGAACTGGAAGAGATCGATAAATTCTTGAAAGCCTATGAGCAACTAAATCGAACGGTTTGTTATCATTCATCCTCCATCGCATTCGACCCGTTCTAATGATCGCTTGGATGAACTCTAATTATCGCTTGGATGAACCTTTGTAGGTCACATTTGAACCGATCCCACCAGAAGCCACGCTTTTGACTCGAGTCCCCGGAGGCAGGGCGGCATTGAGCATGAAGACATATACCATGCCTTCTCCTCTCATTAAAGACTTTGGTTCATATACCAATCCTAGCGTTTTAGATTGGGCAGATAGTGATGACGAAGACCTACCAAGCTCATCAAGGGAACCTGAGCAAGCTTATTGCTGAACTGCTCTTGGCGCCTCTCAAAGATTGTCAGGCGGTTTCAAATGGACTTTCTGTGTGTAACTGATGTGCTATTACCGGTCTTTGTATATATACAGTTGAAGTTCTGTGAATGATCAACTGCCTTTCTTACGGAAATATCATAGTGAAAAGACTTTTGCTTCGACTGTATTGCGGCGGGCTTGGTTTCTAAACGTCATCATTGAGCCAAGCTAGAATGATAAGAGAGACAATAGACATGTGCGATTCTTGGGGAGGATACTAGAAGACGGGTCAGAAAAGTCCACTACAGTGAATACAATGGGGAAGGGGAAACAACATATATTCTAGAGATGCAACCAATGGGTATAAAGCCAACATTGCTGATTTTAACAAGATAGGTATCGAGGATCTTGGCTCTGAAGATGCATCCTGAAGGGACGAGATCTTCTGGCAGTAGACCTCGGCATTGGTGTTATACTTTTGCGCATCCAAAGCATTAATCAAAGTGAATGGGCCAATTTTTGACAAAAGCTGCATGTGGTACAACAAATCTTAATTGTAACGGTAAATGGAGAAATGAAGGCTTCTGATCCTATTTTCCTCGAGAAAACATACTGGCAGGATGGGCGCTTCTAATGGAATGTATACTTCTATTGGAAACAGCAGGATGAGAGAAGATACACATAACATTGGCAGAAGGAAAAACGCTCTGGCTAAGATCAAATGAAGGTAAGAAAAAAACAGCAATATATATCTGCAGTAATGAACCTGAAAAAAAAAAAAAAATGATGGAAATCTTCCCCACAAAATTGAGCAAAAGTTGAAGTCTTGAATGGAGGAAAAATGAAATGGGACATTGCTGATGTGGAAAAAACGACTGGAATATGCGGTTACCCCAAAAGAAAATGAGAAGCTCTAAAAACAAAAAGATTTAGCAAAGTGGGAAGGGGAGGGGGGGATGACAGTTGACTAGGTTTCGCTAGGAGAGAGACAATATAGGTTTTATTTTTTGGTTGGCGATTTGGGAGAGTTGTTGATGATTAAAGCGCCATCTGAGGTGTCACCACCATCAGTGATTTCATTCTGTTGTTCAGGAAGGTTTTTAGGAGTATTGTTAGGAGGATGAGTTTGAAGATCATTAGCCTTGAGATCATTAGACTTGGAGACTGAAGCAGAAGGATCGGCTTGAGGGCTTGGATTTCTCTCTTTCGCTTGAGCTGGAGTTTGGACATTAAATTTCTTCCATGATTGGGATTTCCAGTTGCGTTCTTTCAACCAAGGCGATCGATCGAAATTCGCATCATTCTTCGAGCAGCTGAATTGGTTATCACACTGGCATTTTCCGCCCAAGAAACTGGGCAGGTTTTCATCATCGATGTGTTCTAATAGGGTCGACTTGTAATCCTCCCCTAGGATGTTGATCTTCGAAATCGTCTCTTTTGATAGCCATGGCGTAACCGCTTTGAAGATCGTCGCAAATGACTTCGGCGCATTGATGATTGCTAGATATCCCATCCTTTGGCATGCATCAATCAAATGGAATATCAGTTTGGATCTTTTTTTTTATACTGATGAAGTGGTCACTAACGTTTCAGGATAGTAATCTTGAGAAATACTAAAGCAAGTCCGAGCAATATTTTTGATCTGGAATGGCAAGATGCACAAAAAAGAAGAATCATGAGAAAGGGAAGATGAGAAGAACTTGTTTTTTTTTTCTACAACGAAAGAGAGAAACAGACAAACCTGCCAAAACTGGGTAAGAGTGAAACCTTTCAGATCGACGATACAAAAAGCGTTAGTGATTTTAGGCGATGCACTGGAATGAGATGAGGAGGAGTTTGCTTGAGAATGGTGATCATGATCGGATTGAGAAGAGTTTTGCAGGTTGATCGCTTGGTTCCGGTGACTACAGGCCGGCAGAATCTCTCGAGTTAAGGCTTCACAGTTGGCTACTAAGACCTTGAAATGCGATTGCTTGTCGATGACTGAATACAGTTTACTCAAATCCAGGGAACCAAACATTTGGATATTCACCGGTCGGCCAACTTTGTCGATCTAGATATCATGTACATCAACCAAAAGTGTTATTTTTTTTGTTGCTGCTGTGATCAATGCTCGAGAACAAATGGCACAATACTTCTTTTTATTTCAATTTTTTTTTTTTTTTTGATTTTGAGAGACTGGAATGAAAGGAGACAATGTATTTACCCCATGGAAATAAATTGGCCAATATTTGAAGACTTGATCTCGATTTGGAAAGTCAAAAGGATCCAATTCTTCGTACAACCCATCGATTCCGATGCCTTCGAACTGATGCCGCCATTGCAAGCATTGAGTGATCATTCTTTTGGACGCTTGAAGGTCGAACTTTCTTGCCTTCAAAAACCGACTATTCATGCATGCATCGAGAGGAAGTTAGGAAAATGAATTCAGTTAAGATTATTATCGTCTTGTCAAACTGATTATTCCAGCAAAAACAAAATAACCTAACATGAGAGTTTCATCATCTGTCCCCAAAGTTTCTGACGGCTTGAGATGTCCTTCTTCCTCGAGTTCTGACCTAAATGCCTTCAGGATTTCGATTTGATTGGGAGTTAAGGTTTCTTGGGACTGAGAGCTTGATTGATCCTGTGTCCGCAAAAACCAGAATATCAGTCATAAATTTTCGGCAGCGATGAAATAGTTCAACTGAGAGGGAAATGATGATTAAAAAAAAACTCAACTGAGATCATGCTGCTTTCTCGTTTCTTGGGACCGCTTGCCGAAGGACCCACGACAGGAGATTTAGATGACGAAGCACTGGCGGCCATCTTTTGGAGACGGTCTGATAGACGAACTGGTGAGGGAGGGATGGGGATAAGGTACAAAGGAAAGGGATAAATCTTCTTTTGATGGACGGTCACACAACAGCAGAGTGGTGGTGGTCAGCAGGAAAGAAGGTTTGGGTTTGGAGGGGCAGGGTGGTTGCAAGTATGGACTTGTGTATGTAGTGGTATGGACTTGGCTACTTCTGGTTGCATCGGATCTTCATCATGGTTTAAAAGCTACACTCCACAGATTAACCAGGATTGTCCATGTCACATGTCATCACGATCCCGGCAAAACAACACCAAGGCTCAAGCAACATCATCCCTAACGATCAGGGGATGAAGAGCCGACCAGTCACTGAGACAGCCCCCCGTTTTGTAGGTGGAAGTGGAAAAGCCCATGAGGACTGAATAGATACAATTACACACTCTTTCGCAAAAGAAAATACAATGACTCTTACATCATTCAATGCACATTTGATCAGAGATGCTTCAGAGGTTCATGATTAAAATTCATAAATTTCTAGATTCAATTTTACTGTGTGCAGTTGACATGCAATTTTACAAAGGCACCTTTGACATGCAATTTTATATTAAAGGCACCTTTGTAATATTGCATGTCAACTGTAAACAGTTGTGCAAATTTTTCTTGCAGTATTAGAGGGTTTAAAAGTTGATTTTTGAACACCATTCTACACAAAATCATAAATTCCATAGAAGTTTTGAGAAATGTTCCAACAAAGAGGAATTGGAAGTTTCAGAGAATTGGAATTTTGACCCTCTTGAGCTTATGATCTCATGTAGAATTCTGTTTAAAAAATAACTTTGAATCCCACTATTGTGTTCTATAATCATTGGTGATGATCTGTTTAAATAATATCCACATAATGCTTTAAAATCATGAGGGCTTTTGATGAGAAATTTCTTTACATGATTGTATTTCTCCTCTGATACCAATCTTCATCCTATTGCAATCCTGATAATTCTTTGAGATATCAACAATGACTTGAATTTGTATGCAGAATATTCAGGTAGACCCATGAATGTGGGATAATCTCTGGGAATAATTTTATTTCAATAATATTCAATATCTGGCAGATATGGTAACTGATTGTCAAGAATCTGTCAAATCTGCTGAACAAGTTTGCAAAAGTAGAGCTTTGAGTTTCTTACATTGGCTTTGAAGGTCTCTTGAAGGTCTTTTTTTCTTGAAAAAAAGTCTTTCATTATTAAGGATTGTTTTTGGTTTTGCTTTATCAGTGTATTTGATCCTATCAATGATCACATTACTTGTTTTGAGGCTTGAAAATAAAAAGTTGAATTTGGAAAACATTTTCCACATTCACTTTCTCTCATCATTAGGAATTGAATGGCAATGCACATATCTGTCATATGAGTTCTCCAAATTTGCACATAATGTCTTCAGATTGATTCCATCCTGATCAATGTTGGTGAGAGCTTTTCAATTTTTTGCACAAACAATAGTTGAAATTTTGCATCAGCTTTCAATCAACCATGAAAAATTTTATTGTGAAAGATAACAAGTAAATGTGAAATGTTTCTAGTAAAAGGTTTACATATCAGAAATAGCCATATTCAAATGGCCAAAGCTAGCTTTCTGTATAATCTCTTCCAGAAAGTATCAATTCCAAACTGAATAATTGGGGTTCAACCAGTTTTGATGTGTGTCTCATTTTAAGCCAAAGAAAATTTTCCTCTTGAAATAATCCTCTTACATCTTCCTTATTAATAAATTCATTCTTGAAAGAAAAATCAATTGACTTGAATATGTGAGGCATAAGCTTATCATGGAATCACCATAAATGTTTTTCTTTTTGAAATTTTCTTGTTCAGTCTTGTTTTTTCATTGATGCATGTTTTGCAATGATTGGAAGGACAGCATCAGGTAGTTTGTTCAAAAATTTGGCATGTTTTTACTCTTGTCAAGTGATTCTATCAAATTTTTCATTGCTGAGAAATTTGAAGGGAGTTGTGATATGTTTCAGAAAATTATCTTTCTGAAAACTGGTGAACACTGAAACTGAAGTGGCAGGTTGTGTTGGTTGACAAAGTACTCCAGGTGGTACATGAACTTTTCTCTTGACAATAATGTGATGTCACTTGACTTTCTCCTCCCTGATACTGATCTTGCCCTTGTCCAGCTTGTTTAAATCCAACACTTTCAGCAGAATTTCAACCTGTTCTCCCAAGCAGGATATTGCCAGAAGTAAGCTGGTCAACATCCTTTTCCAGAAGCATCTGTAAGATTAACAATAAGGAAGATCCCAAGGCATGTTGGGAGAACAGGCTAAGCCATGGGCCAGTGAATTCCACTGAAGATAAAATAAGTTAGTTTCACGTTCTAATAATTTTGCTTGTCATTTATGAAAAAAAATGATATTGAGTATGGTTCTCTTCCCAGAAGCTGACACCATGCATGAAAAGCTTGAAATAGAGAAAGGTCAGTTTTTTTCATCCTTGCCCACAATTTTGTTTTGATTCAATAAGTGAGAATTTAAGAAAACCTTCATTGAACTGTAGAAGAGTTGAATTTGCTCATGGAAGATTTTAGAGCACTGAAGAAACTTCAATGTGGTGGGTGTAAGGGCCTTGAGATTTGGACCTTTTTGGAAAGCTATAAATTACATTCATCAAGAGTGCCTACAAAAGCTGAGATATTAGTAATGGAGGACTTCCTATTGATTCTGAAGCCCCTACAAAACCAGATTTGTAGGCCTTTGAATCAGATTTCCCTGCAAGATCTGACTTCAGTGGGTTCAAATCTGATTCCCTAGGGTCTACAGATAACCCGTTGAGATTTAGAGTGTGTTTTAGACCTCTATTGGTTCTAAATTAAGACTTTGATCAAACCCACCATTAGCCCACATGAAAGCCATTGCGACAAGGCTTATGATTTTTTTTACCAAAAATCAAGATTGAAGTGGTGTAAATTGGATTCTGCAAGGGTTCTAAAACCCGACGGGAAGTCATCCATTCCATACATTTATAAGAAGCATCTTGTGAAGCAAATTATACGCGATGGCAGAAGAAGATTGAGTGAGGAGATGAAGCAGCAATTGTAACGTTATAATGCTTGCCAAGCTGCATTTGCGTTCTGATTGGGATGGATAAGACCTGCTGTATTATAATTTGATGAAGTACCTCGTCTTTGGAGGGTCTTCATTAAGCTAGCCCACTGTTTACTGTCAGGGTTTACATACCTACGATAATTCTTACAGAAAATAAAGACCAAGTGTCTTAGAGAGCACTGCATACTCAATGAGTCAATTCCATCCTTTCATCGCTGGGGCACTTGAACATTGAAGACCCACCCCTGGGCCCGGGATAGCATCCCATTGCATCCCATTATTGTTACAGAGGCTGGACAGCCATCATGGTCGACTCGTAGTTACGCGGTTCAGACCATGGTGAAGGATCCCTACTTCAAAGGCAATTTTCTATACCTTTGGGAGGTTTTTTTTGCAGTACTGTCCTATAGGGCATGTATGTATCTCCTGGCCTTCCTATGGAAGCCATTCAGCAAGCAAGACGCGTTCATGGTTTCAGATGTTGAGCGAGATATCACTTGTGGATGGAAGCATTAAAGCAAACGTCGCGTCGCACACCCCGTCTCACCGGATATTCTCTGAGAAATACTTCTCCATCGTCGCTGGTGCCTGGGTAGTACAGTCCCAGTGACTTGACAACATCCTCCAAGTTGGGAAGACCAGCTGGTCATCATCCATCCTGCCAAGCTCAGCCGATTCAAGACTCAGTTGGCGACAACCGATCATTGATGGCTGTCATGGCCAGTTCAGAAGTCTTACTGCCGATAGTAATCCTTTGGCTTCGGCGCTGCAACGACATCGCATTCGCCCAAGCAACCTATGTACCCAGCTCGCAGCCGGCTGCAATCACCCAACCAGAGCGATGTGCCAATCATGACGCACCAGCCAGCGCTCATCTTTTGCCCCAGTTCAGACTCTTGAGTTCCCAAGACAAATTGCCAAGGCGCACCAGCGGAGCCGACATTTATCTGACCAATCCGTTACTTCTTAACCCACCGCTTTACTTATCAATCTCTGTGCTTCCAACTTTACCTCCTGTTCAACTCTTTTTCTCACATCCTTGCGTTGTTTTTAATTTTTTCCCCTCGCCCCTTCAAATTCAATCAGTAAACACACCTCATCGTCCTCGTGCTCAATACTTCGCACAGGCAGGCTCGCGACGGGATTTGGATTTTTTTTTGAACTTCAATACACACACGCTTCAGCATTTCAAGTAACAGCAGCTGTAAACTTTTCCTCCCCATCTAATCAATCGACAAAGTATCGATACCATATACAGCCGTACCATAAACAAAATAGGATGACGGCCACCAACGCGACGACCATCGAGAGCGTGTGCAAGCTACTCACCACGCCATCTGCGGGGACCCAGCCGGAAGATCCGAAGCCGGTGTCATTGAACGTTGCCCAAACGGAAATGCTGAACCGATTGATTGGACATTTCAGTGCCGAAGGGTTCCGGCCGCAGGAGAGGACAGTCGACAGTAAGGGCAAGGAGAAGGTCAAGGCTGGCGCACCACTGACGGCCTGGGAGGCGTGCTCACTGCTCAACCGAGAGGCTCTCCTGCGTTGTCTGCGCGCTGACAAGTGGGACCTGGCCAAATGTCAGGCCCGACTTGAGGAGACCATAATTTGGCGCAGGAGTCTCGGCGGCGATGGCATCGAAATTGAGGGACAGGCAGCGACTCTAAAAACTGAGGTTCGTCGGTATCCTCCTTAAAACCCCCCACACAAGAATGACATGACTGATCTTTTTTATCACAGGCAGAAAGCGGGAAGATGTTCACCCTCGGCTTCGATAACATCGGCCGGCCTATCGTCCACATGCGGCCTCGTAACCAGACCAGTGGTACCGGTGGCTCGGGACACCGGTTCCCACTGGCCTTCTGGCTCATCGACCGGGCCATCGATCTCATGCCCCCTGGAGTAGAATCGTGAGTTACGCAAATAGTTGTTTCTAGCGAAAACCACATATTCATTGTTTCTTTACTCCTATCTAGCATCTTACTTGTCATAGATCTCGCTGGACCTCAAGAATCACCGTCGGTCAAACAGCAAAAGGATTTCGTTAGAGTAAGTATTTACACTGCTCCTTCGGAATATGGCCTATTTTGACTGACACTTTCCTAACCTTACAGACCCTAGGAGCACATTACTGCGAACGACTAGGGCAGGCTCTAGTTTGCAATATGCCCACCTTATTTGTTTGGGTACTCAAGGTACGCATGGTGGAAATTCCCAATCCAAATCGACAGTTGTAGACCCATTATCTAACATCTGTGAACTTCTCATGTTTAAGCTTCTTAAGCCGGTAATCGATCCGGTGACCTTTGCTAAGGCAGTTGTTGATAAAGCCGATCCTCTGAAGTTCGCACCTGCGGAACAGCTGGACAGTCCAGCCGGGGGTACCAATGGTTACGAGTTTGTGAGTCGAATGTTTTTACCTCATTGACGGAGGAGAACAAAAGAAGCCACGAGACTGATAAAAATTCCCTAAACCTCAAAAGGACATTGAGAGTTACTGGCCAGCATTGACCTTAGAATGTGGTCAACGCCGCCGGGCACGACTAGAGAAATGGGTGAAACTGGGGAAGAAGGTTGGCTCGAGTGAGCTCGAGGATGAGCCAGCCGGCCAACGGGCCTCCTCGTCCAGCTCCGTCTCTTCCGCATCCACTACCTACAGCGTTAGTATGGCACCCAGCACCGCTAGTACCTCCGCTCCTGCCGATTCGTCCACTTGCACCCTTCCTGAGATCGCCCATGGACCCGCCCCTCAAGCAATGGTCGCTGTCTCCCAGTGATCCTCTCTCATCAAGCTATCGTAAATATACCCATGGAAATGGCATATCATATCACACCCAGCCCACACAATCTCTCTTTCGCCTCTCCAACCATCCATTACTTGCTTCTTCTACTTCTCTTTTGTGTAATGCTTTTTCTAGACCTCTCTGGTCTCACCCCCGCCCCCCTTGATTTCTACTTCACTTTTTAGATCTTGTTTTATTTCAACTGAGCACTCCTATTTTTTTTTCTGATGTATTATATTTTACTGTTGGTTTCCGTTTTTTTTCTATTTTGTGATGAAGATCAGAGGATGGGACATGGCAAGGAAAAATGCAGGATAATCAAAGCACACCGTGCATCTTTCTTTTTTCTTTGTTGATTTAAAATAAAATAAAATAATCATCCAATTCATCTTCTGAGCAGACCATCTTCTCCTCTTTTTGATCAGATTATCCATGACAAGATGCAAACACAATCAACTTGTGTTTTGATTCTTTTTCATTTAATATTGGATGTTAGACCACATACACACTTTATAAGTTTGGTGGGGCTCTGTTTTACTGGGAAATGAAGGCCTGAGGAAACCCCTGGCTTCCTTGTGTGAGCCTTTACCTTAAATGGCCTGTTGGACACTGGGTCCAATTTGCAGGTTAACACAATCCCTTTGAAACCCTTGAAGGAAGCCTCCAAGGGAGGAATTGAGTCTGATGCAATGTCCTTGCAATGGAAATGAGAGGTTTTTGAGTATCTTCTGGTGGAAAACTGCTACACATACACTTCCAGTGCACAATTTTCCAGTTTGATGCCTTAAGCCCAGTCATTGCATCACTCTCAAGGCACTTGAAATTTTCCCATCACATGCAAATGACTGCTCATGTTGTGGTAGAAGAATAAGATGTCTTTGAGCAGCTGTCCTCAGACCTTGCACTGGTTGCCAAGTGGTGGCTGAGGATGGGCCTCTGGGTGTTTATTTTTGAGGGCTTTCTGCAGGGGCTACAACTGTGGTCCACCCTTCCCATTTTCATCTCACAAATTATAGCCGCCTGCCTGTTAAACCATTAAAATTGCATGTATCTTGCCTACAATCTCACCAGATGTTGTCTGTCCCACCCTTGGATCTTTGATCCAGATCATCTGTCCATCACAATACAGTGATTTTCAAATAACACAAATTGATGAAATGATAGACTTTGCCAGGATTTTTGAATGTGGTAAAAAGCTATTGAAAGAAGGCCCATGTTTCATGCAGTGAATGGTAGGAAAGATTCACATGTTTCTTTTGGTCTAGCAGGCATCCAACATTTTTGACAGGAAGCTGAGTAGAACATGTGTCACAGTTCTCCACCACCAAACAAAAAGCAAAGCTTCTCTTGAAAAAATGTTTGCATCAGGCCTCAGCCCCTCTT